GATATAAGGATGCATTCGCTATTTATCCAAAATTCCTAATGTTCATCCTCGTGAAGGTTTTACTGCAACGTATTCTTGGGTCTGGAAATATTCTATGGTATTAGCATTTGGAATATGAAGTGGCACCAAAGTGCAATAATATCTCGATTACCAGTGTTTACCTATCAACAAACACCACGTTACATAAAATTAAAACAGGACCTATTTTATAACAAATTTATAAAATTGAGTCACGAGTAATCATATCTATCTAGAAGTTCGGTCTAAAACTAACATGTCAAATCATAAAAAAATCAGAACTACTCTCTTCTGTCAATTTCTATCCAATAAAAATCTACAAAAAATCAATTTACACGAATCCAGTTGAAAGTTGGGAGTTATCAGCCAGGTCAAAATTGAAAATTCATTCCAACGTTTTTGTTCCATATGTTTTCATCGAATTGGTCAAAGTGTGCCGTGCAAATTGAATAGCAGTTCTTATGGAATTTTGTCTGATATTTCTGTATCTGATGAAATTTTTCGAAAAAAGTGATCACAAAGTGAACTTTCATGACATAACAATGAAAAATGAATTTTCTCCAAGTCCGGATCTGTATTTCTCATCCATAATATACCATATTGAATAGTTTCAATAAAGGAACGTCGCTGCCAAATTTCAGCCAATTGCGATGAATCAATTCTGAAATATCGGCAATCAAAGTTATATGGCAATTTCACTTAATACCCTGTATCTTTGTTATAGATGTCCAAAAAAATTTTTCATATATATACATCAACTCGTCTTGATTTCCCCTATCAACCATTTGGCTATGTGAGTCTTCTCATGAAACACCCTGTATATGAACTGTCCTTATCCTTCTTAGTTTCCTTGTTATTCGAAATAATGTTACACCTACTATGCATAAAATTTTTATAACCTAAATGTTCATCTTACATCAAATTATTATTCGAATTGAATATTGAATGGTTCACGTACACGAAAGATATTGAAACAAATGAAAAACACAAAGTGTGGTGAGGAAATGATAATGATTTTTCATTAGCTTCGATCCACCACTAGCGTCCCAATAAAAAAAAATCTGTCCATGTCAGAGGGCTCGAAAAAGAATAACACCGTTACTCCCATTGGGGGTAACGATAACACCCAGTTTTTTCAATGTACAAGGACTGTTCATATTGCCGATAGAAAAGTGCTCACCGAATTTCAGATCGTTAGGTTTTGTTTCAACTGAGACAGAAAAAACCAAAAATGTATGCGAACCTTAACACCCCGTATAATGAAAACATGTTTCTCCATGACAAAACAGAAAAATACGTATTCAATATTTTGAGTTTTGCTATCGATTGTCAAAGTTAGACGAGTAAAACCTGAGACACCCTGTATATGGCGTTGTTTATTACACAATATAAATTCTGTTTACACAAACCAAAAAATTCCACTCATGTAATAGTTATTTTTCTTCCCCTGTAACAATGCATTGTGATATTCCATTTGCATTTGTCTTCAATCAATAAATCATGTATAGGTAAGTGCAAGCCATTCGAATAGCAGTATTTTTCTGTAAAAAATTCCCTTTCGGTTTTTTCCTATGTTGAACAATGTTCAATTTAGTAAGTTACCTTGTATAATCTCGAATATACGTGTATATACATAAAGTACCTAACTCTACCAGAAATTCAGAATTATTGGCATTTCCATAGTACTTATCTTATTTATATTGTTACATACATAATATCTTGAAGTTCTTTATACTACTGATAATTTTTATCCAGTTCAATGTTTTATTTTTATTTAATTTTGTTGAGAATTTTTATTAAGTTCAATGTTATATTAATATTTTATTTTGTTGAGAATTTTGATTTAGTTTAATTTATTCATATTTCAAATGTAGGACGCTAAGGCTATTGGCGAAAACCCACTAAAAACAAGTAACCAGCCATGGGTGCCTCATGGGTGGTCTGGAAATTTACCAATATTCGATACTCTCATGTTCCAAAATGGATACATAGGTAATTTTTGAACAATCGAAAACTCATTTAAAAACAGCTTTAGTTTGTGGTAACGAAAAAAATATTTTACCCGCCGCTGTGAGTTGCGGCTTGTCAAAGGATTTGTCGACATGCAGCCGGTTGAATTTTTTTTTGGATTTTTCAACTGACTTCGTATTAACTATATCTATACTAGTATCCGGCCTAATATTATTATCATTAGCTATATGAATACTCACTCATATGCGAAATATCCATCATAATATTGAAAACAATTTTAATTTTATTACTCCATACTCATATTCCATTTCGGCCTATATGCATATTTTTTCGGAATACTGATGTATATTGCCTAAAGCACAACTTTTAAGCTGTGCCTGTGGGACTTATTCAGAGAATTCAGACGACCGCAGAAGCCTCAAGGGGTAACACTCAAGGCCGCTTTTACTATAAATGTTGAAATATTTTACGCTAGAATGAATTGGAGTGAGACACTAGACGACTTCCTTCGTTATCGGGCCCCGCCTCCTTCGGACAGGATTTTTACTTTCCCCTTTACACCGTAGATTTAGTTTGACCTTTTTTAGAGGGTTAACCCCTCCTTAAGTCGATCAACGTACCGCGTGACTAATATTTTGATAACTACCTATTTAATATCCGTGTAGAGGTGACGGCTTTTTAATAAACCGAATATTGACATTGACCGTTGCATGTTATTGTAATTGATTATGACAAAAAAAAACTAATACAGGGTGTCCGTTTTTCAAGCTCCACCATGGGGATCTCAGTTATTATAAGAGATACGAGGTCGGTTAAATTAGGGCAAAGTTGCGCATTTTCATGCTGAACATTTATCTGCAAGAAAATTTGATGTCATTTTCAGTTTTTGAATTATTGGAAGAAATTTAGAATTCATAATTTTCGTTCCTATTTTTTCAAGCGGAAACCAAAAAACCTAGACGTTTCTGACTGGGGCATTCTTAAGGTACTTTTTTACAAGGAATCTGAAACTGTCATTGTATTTTCCATGGCGTTCTTGATGCCAAAGTTATAACACAACTTTGTTTTTTCTCATGGGCGCCATTTTGGATTTTTGCATTTTTTTTCTTGTCACAATAATGTATCACACAATATGATCTTATCTTTCCTGTTTATCAAAATTGGAAAAAAACATTTTTGCGTAGTGCTTTGGAAAGAATGCCAACAGTTTTGTTTAACAATATGAATTTCGACAGTTTATTTGAATTTCAATCTGGAATATTCTTATTTTCGTCAAGCTCATCTACCTAAAAACTATGGTTTTGAATTAGGAACGACGTAGTGAGCTAGATATTTATTCTCCGCAAAACAAAATAAAACAAAGTTATAAAAGATGCTCGAATACTCCACCTTCCACTTCTAAACCCAATTCCACGCGTTTCCTCAGATTCTGAATTGCCCGCGAGATGTCCCGTCTTCTTATCTTAGTCCTGAAAGTGGTGATTATGGTTCTTCTCATCTCATCAGTATCGATCGATTCAGTTTTGAAAATCAAATCTTTCATAGTTCCCAATAAATAATAATCCAGCGGAGATAGATCAGGTGACCGCGCTGGCCAACGTATATCTCCGTTGTTGGAAATTAACTTGTCAGGGAACATATCTGACAGACACTCGGCAACCCTTCTTGCGTTATGTGGATAAGCTCAAGAATTCAACGATTCTGTTCGCATAATCAACTGTCAAAATTCAGTTTGCTGAACAAAACTGTTGGCGTTCCTTCCAGAGCACTCTTCGCAAAAATGTTTTTTTCCCAATTTTGATCTACAGGAAAGATTCGATCATATTGTGTGATACACTATTGTAATAAAAAAAAGGCTTTTCAAAGATGCTAAAAATCCAATATGACGCCTATAAGAAAAAACAAAGTTGAGTGTTTTAATTTGAGCATCAAGAACGTCATGGAAAATACGACGACAGATTCAGATCCCTTGTGAAAAAGTGCCTTGAGAATGTCCCAGTCAGAAACGTCTAGGTCTCTTGGTTTTGCTTGAAAGAATGAAAACGAAAAAAACAAATGTTCGTTTTCTTCAAATAATTCAAAAACTGGAAATGACACGTCAAATTTTCTTGCAGATAAATGTTCAGCATGAAAATGCGCAACTTTGCCCTAATTCAACCGACCTCGTATCTCTTATAATATCTGTGATCCCCATGGTGAAGCTCGAAAAACGGGCACCCTGTATATAACTAACTTAAACTATTAATTAACGCAGGGCGTTAACATATTCCTTATCACACGTCAAATAGCAGATTCTTGAAATTTTTTTTTGGAAAACGGAAACCACCAATTTAGTACACACCGATGTGATCTTGACATCACCGATACGTCACTGCAACGTCATAGGGATAATGTTTTTTAATCTATAAATGACGTATTTTCAAAGTAATGTTGATGTTGTGATTACCACGTCTTGAAAATAATGTCACTTTGACGTATTCAACTGGTCGTATATGTATTCCTTTAAACACAAGAGGAAGTCAAATAGAAAATTCGACAATTTCTCTGAAAAACGAAAACCACCAAATTGGTACGTCACACCGACATGACCCATAGGTAGCCATAAAGTCTGTACGATGACTTTCTCTTGTTTTTTGTACATTATTGACAACTTACAGTGGTGGTCGTAAAAAAAATAAGCATTTTGCCACCCGAATTACTACGAAAAGAGTCGCTTTTTTGGTTTCTCAGGCCAGATCTTGGAATCGTTACAAAGTTACCGTGCGCTAACCATATCAGCAACGTTACCACACAAAAAATATCAGAAGTGTATGATCTTAAAATTTTTGTTGATGAGCACAAGCCTGGAATGAGCGGTAGAAAATAAATTCACTACAAACCAAACCAGAGGCATATTCGATTCTCCGACTAATTTTTTATCATAATATGTCTTGTATATTCCAAGTCTACTGGCGACTTCATATTAAAAATTTATATCGATTTCATCTGGTACATTACGTTTATATTTACAGGTGCTTCTTTACTGTTGCCAAAAGTTCGAAGAAATCCGCTAATAGAGATTATTGCTATCAATACAGGATGCCTGAATCAGTGTACTTATTGTAAGACGAAACATGCGAGGGGAGATTTGGGAAGTTATCCTCCTGAAGAAATAGTCGCTAGAGCTAAACAGGCTTTTGAGGAAGGTGTGGTTGAGATATGGTTAACATCGGAGGATACAGGTCTGTATATCATTACGATTCGAGCAAACATAAAAGTTATAGAGTATTTTTACAGGTAGTTTTGGTGTTCATTATCTAAACTTCAATAGGTCACAGTACTCAGCAAAATAATAAAGAAAAATGTATCCCAATATGGAAATGCTTCGTTGTCGGTAATGCTGTATTTCGATAACAAACCATTAACGGTTACAAAAAATCGCATTTCCATTATTATTTTGATAACCCTCATTTCAATTTTCTGGCAAGTTAATGTGTTTGTTTTCGAATACACAGTTCTCAACACACTAAACGGACCACTCAGAATTCGACCCCCAGTACAGTCAGTAGATCGTTAATATGCCTTTGTCCCACAAAAAGTGGGGTAGTTTTAATTTTGAACTGTTGTACGGGTCGGAACCCTACAAAAAAATCATTTTTTCGATCTTGAGCGACTTGAACTTGTCATCTAAGATTGAGGACACCAGATGATGAATAAAGATCTAGTTTATTTATCGCCATCTAGTGAACTGAGGTCTAGGTAGGTTGACTACCTGATACTACTTCAGTAGAATGGTTCAACTAGTCCTATTATAACTAATATATCTTGGAGTGAGCAAGACTGATTGAAGAATGAAGGTACAATTGCTTCAGCATTATAGACAGATTTACAATCTCTGGTTTGTTTAGAAGGCTGTTATAGAAATAAAAGCAATACTGAAGTCCGAAAAATTTGTTCCTCTGCTCCAGGCTCCGTTGGACTAATTCAATGACCAGCGCAGAGAATGAATCAAGAAATATTAGTTTACGAATACGGGGTGCAAATGAGATAGAGATTTATGCTATGAAGTTAAGTGAACCTCGTGAAACAAATGGGTCAGACACTAGTTTCCATAAAAAAATTGAACATCCTTCTCAAAGTGTTTTTAGATAACTCGTATCCTGAAAAAGTAATAACATCCATCTTATTTAGCACATCATCCACAGAACAAGATCGACCTTCACTCATTTGCTTGCCGGATGAGAATTACATGTTATCAAATAAAATATGTTTCTGAACTATAAGGTTGCCATAAAAAATATGTGCATGATTATGATGAATACAGTGGCTTTCAAATTGAAAAATAGGAGCATGCGATAGAGGGGGATGCAGTACACTAGCTGTGCACCGACGGAGCCGAAGAATGTAAGAGAGGGCGCATGCTTTCCACTCATAGTATAAAAATGGATGAAATCAAATGATTTTGAGACAGTTTTGAGAGCAAACAGTCCGTTTGTAAACACGTGTTTTGTGGAGCTATTGAAAATGTAGAAGTGTTTTTTAAGCAAATCAAGTGATTCCGTGCAGGATATCAATGAACAATTTTTCAAAAACTTTTATTCAAAAGTATTACTCATACCAAAAATCTGTTCTGGACCTTATGCTGCCGCTTACGAGCATTGCAGTATGATGTGAGTCTCGACTTGACAGTGATGAAGTGCGGTTTTCGGTCTCTAAAATCTTAACCACAAGTATTTTTCCAGTAAAAATGACTTCTCCAGGAAGAGAAGAGAGAAACGGTTATTTGCAATCAAACGAGAAATTCTTACTGATTTGAAGATAAAGCATCAGGAAAGGAATATTGAGGGGAACGTTGTAAACAACGAGGAACGAAATAGTGGACAGAGCCCTCATAAAAAGTTAATCGTAGACGCGTGTTTTGGACTATCGGCTCTCATCAGTACGGTGTAAGCAGCACTTGGTGGAGGACGAAACAACAAATAACGGAGTCAACAACCAGAAGCTAGCCGCAAAATAGACGTTTCGTTAAGAAGATCCCGAGTATTCAGGGAAACAACTAACGTCACCACGGAGGCAGCTATAGCTATCTGCGTGACATCCAACCTGTTTGTAATCCTGGACTTAGACACCCTGTATAGTGGAAGGGTAGTCGTTGCTGACTAGGTAGGTATCGACTAGTAAATAGTGAGGCTTCGCAGCAAGTAAAAGAGAACTTTAAAACTGAAACTCTGAACTCAAATTGGAATTTTTCTCATCACAGTGTACAAGATCAGGGTCATTATATTTCAAACACTCAGTCAGATATTCGTTTTCGCTATTTTCCTGAGAGGAAGATACGTGTGGAGATTACATGTCACGTCAGTAATATTGAAAACACTCCGAACTTTAAATACCCGAAATCTAAACTAGATGCTTCACAATCTTCGATGTCACTAGATAAAGAAAGTCTCAATTTTTTGCATTTTTTCAGAAGACAAAAAAACATCGAATCATGATTAATACCGAAACTATAAAACTTAACAACAAAAGATTATTAGAATCTCCCACCCTGTAAATGGATTTCTGTTGGGTGGTGTACAATAAGAAAAAAACAGCTTGGAACATTATAAATGTCAGGTTAGGCAAAAATTAGACTCCTTCGAACAGTTGTATCTCTGCTGAGTACTTTGCACATTTCTTCCAGAGTGTTATACAAAATCTAATTCGGAACTGTGAATCCGCAGATATTAGATCCGAAAAGTTAATTTCAATAACTTGGCAAAGACAATTCCCATAAATAATAAGTTACTTTATTTGCATTCAACAGATGCACAAGAGGTCCGCTGGAATATCGGAAATCTTAAATTATCAAAGTTAATAGGTTGTTTTGGTTTAAAATGCCAGTCCGTTAACAATAGTTTGTGATGTTCTAGATCATCCAATTGCAATTCTTATAAACACATGAGTGAATGATAGTGTTTTCCCAGATAAATTCAAGATATCTAGAGTATCCCAATTTACATAGAAAAAGAGAAAAAAGTTCACCAGCTAATTATAGACCCATCTCCATAATAATTTTTGAATAAACGACTTTTAATTTTTAAAAAATTTGCTTTGTGTGATTCAGTTTGGTCAGAATTGGAAAGTCTACTATTTCGGCAGTCTGTGAGCTCGGTGACACCATATTGAACGGTTTCGATGATCAGTCAATCAGCTTGTCTAGATTTTATGACCTAACAAGAGCATTTGAGACAGTTCGTCATGATTATCTACTATTAAAACGCGATAGATACGGCATAAGAGGTACTCCATTAAACCTCATCCCTTCATGTTTGAAAAATAGGACTCATTATGTTGAGTGTCGTAATCAATGCTCTGATGATGCTCATACTTTGCAATATGGTGAACATCAGGGCTCAGAACTTGAACCCTTGTTGTTCACAATTTATTTCAACGATCTACTTATCAATCTTCACCAAAATGTGAAAGCAGTCTTTTATGCTGATGATGCAACATACATAGCCACTGGCAAAACAAATCAAGAAACAATAGTTAACCTAGATTAGTCTGAAGTCATCTCCAAACACTGGTTTCGCACCAACTGTCTGAATTTTTGTGACTGGAGTTTTGGTATATAATTCATCTGTTTCTTTGTTCTTGCCCTCACACTATTCACTATGGATTCTATTAAAGCAAAACATTTCCTCATAGGAGAACTTAATTATGAACTGAAAATTACAGGTGTTATTTCTGAACGTAGCATGGATGAGAAGGGAAACATTTTGGGGCGCCTCTTGGCTAAGAAATTCAACAAGGACAAAATGTACTGACTTTTGTTGACCCATCATTTAATTTTGTATTTGAAAAAGTTGACATAGGAAGCACCCTAACATCTATACAAACTTTGATTAGTGACTTTGAGGGACCAACATCAGATTCTACGTTTAAGAGAACAGTATCTAGAATATGCCATGTAACTGGGAGAATTCAAAGAATTTCTTCAAAACCAGAAGCTCAAAATTTTGCTGAAATGTCAGTATTCAAGAATGAATCTTATGCAGCAACACTACAATTAGATGCATGAGGAGGTTTCCGACCCAGAGTTTGATCCAGTTGATGCGCCATTGATACATTCTACTGTCAACCCATTATTGAGAACAAGTTAGGGTTTCAATTTGATGGTGCCTCAAAGAAAGCTCTTATCATTCATGAAACGTATTGCTGAACTTGCTCAAGAAAGGCACATATCCCAAATCGAATTGTTAGAATCTGCAAGTGATCTTTTTACGGGCAAAGCCATCTTCTGGTACCGTATGGCAAAATCACAGGCTAGTTATTTATTTATTTATTCAATTTTTAATACATCCAGCAGGCCAAGGCCCAATTACAGGAATATAAAAGGAAGAATTAGGTATAATATAAGTTAGTTAACATTTTAGTTAGGAACTAAACTGGAAATGGTTTGTTTAATTTTTTTGAGGCGAGAAAAAATATGTCTATAGTTCCAAGTTTATTATAATTTCTTCACATTGAATTGATTGGGGAATGAAAATGGTGCTGTGTATTAGACACATTAATATGGAATGTATTTTGATACCGAGACGCTAATCGGGGTATACTGAACTGGATTCGCAAAAGTAATACTGAAGAGTCTGTATAATTTTGTAAACAAAACTTCAATCACATATGTATCTCCTCTTCTTCAGCAATATATAATTAGATGACCCTGAAATGGCTTTCATTTCAAAAACACAAGCAAACAGAACACTTGTCCATTCAATGCCACTTCTAACAATATTTCTAGGCCAAGTAATGTTTCTGTCCCCTTCTTCTTAAGTTGATAAACCTAGTAAAAGTAGAAATCCTCGAGTGGAAAATAGTCCTCTAGTTTGCTGAAGATGCAATTTAGCCAACCATAAACATAGAGCTTGTAAATCAGGAATTAAGAAAATGTTTTTTTTTTAATGTGGAGCACCTGACGTGGTAATGAAGGACTGTGTAAGGTGTGAGAGAAACTGATAGCGGAGAATTTTGGCAATGGCTTACAATTTTCTGAAAATTTTCCAAGACCCAAATTTCAGTATCCTAATAATGTTACAGAAGGAATAAAGGAAGATTTTCAAAATGTTGTAGCTGCTCTATTGATGAAAAAAATCAAGGATAATAGGCATTGTATAAAGATCAAGCATTTTGATATAAATGTCATTGCACTGTTAGATAGTGGTGCCAATATATATCCGTCATAGATCAAGGAGGTTTAAGG